GTTTCTCCAGGGCTAATTCACGGGGGCAATGAGGGAAGACACGTGGGTGTGATTTATTACCGATATTATCGATATCCCGCGCGGGGATGCGGCACATTGATAATATTGATAATATTGATAATATTGATAATATTGATAATATTGATAATATTGATAATATTGATAATATTGATAATATTGATAATCGGCGGGGGCGGGACTCGAACCCGCGGCCTTTTCACTCCCAAGAGGCCTCGCCCGCGGAACCGCGCGCCGCGCAGATCCCGCCCCTTCCCACAGCCGCATTGCCATTGGTCACCAATCTGCCAATCAAATGGAAGACAGCAGGGGATTGGTTGACTGGAGGGGCGTGGTTTAGGGGGGGTGTGGCTACGGGCGGGCTTCCTGCGGGCGCCTTTGCACTGACCCCCGGCATGGTGGGCACGGAGCGGGACCGGAGCGGGACCGGGACCGGGACCGGAGCGGGGCTGGACCGAGACAGGACCGGGGCAGGACCGGGACCGGACCGGGACCGGAGCGGGACCGGGACCGGAGCGGGGCTGGAGCGGGACCGGAGCGGGGGCTCTGAGCAGGGGGTGCCTGGCCAGGCTGCCCGGGGGATGCGTGGGTCGGGGGTCCCAGCCCGGGGGTCCAAGGGTTCGGCACGGGCTGGGGGTGACCATGGCCAAGGGGTGACTGTGCAGGGTGTCCCCATGTCCCCCCATGTCCCCCCGTGACCCCGGGGTGTCCCCACGCAGGCGGTGATGGGGGTGCAGGTCCTGGTCACCCTGCTGGCCGCCAGCCTGATGCAGAAGCTGGCCCCGCACTGCTCCTTCGCCCGCTGGCTGCTCTGCAATGGCAGGTACGGCTCTGTCCCTGTCCCCAGGGGGGTTTGGGGACATCCAGCCCCCTGTGACCCCCTGTCCCCACAGCCTGTACAGGTACAAGCACCCCACGGACGAGGAGCTGTGCGCCCTGGCTGGGAAGCAGCGCCCCAAGAGCAGGAGGGACAGGTCAGCATCACCCGGGGGGGCGGGAATGGGAAATATTTGGGGTTGGGGACAACAGGAGTCACCTCAGAGTGACACAAGTGACAAGCCTTGCTGTTTTGGGTTTTTTTTCCCTGCCAGGAGGATGAACGGGGTGAGCGAGGACAAACCTCTGTCCGTGCCCCGAGACATCGACCTGCAGCTGGACACCAGCCCCATCACCGCCCTGGACGCTCTGGGTAACGCCCTGGGCCCCCCCCGGGACCCTCAGGGGTGTCCCCAGCACGGTGACGTGTCCCCACGTGTCCCCACGTGTCCCCTCAGTGCTCAGGTATTTCCTGGAGTACCAGTGGTTCGTGGATTTCGCCGTCTACGCCAGCGCCGTGTACGTGTTCAGCGAGGGATATTTCTGCCTGGTCAGCCCTTCCAGAGAGACCAACCTGGGCGTGCTCTGGTGCCTGCTCAGCATCATCTTCTCCATGTATCCAAGTTTTTGGGGGACCGGGTAGAAGAGGGAACCCCCCCATTGTTGTTTTTTCCTCCCAGCTGAGGCGTTAAATTGAATTTTAGGGGTTTTTATGAGTTCTGAAGTTGTGGAGGTGGTGGCGTCATGGTGATGTTGAGGGGGTCCCCTCAGTGTCCCCAATTTCCCTGACACCCATCCCCAAACCCCAGCAAAGTTAATTCATGGTGATTTTTATGGGGTGAGCACAGTTTGGGGTCTGGGGTTTGGGGTCCCCTCAGTGTCCCCAATTTCCTTGACGGTTGTCCCCAACCCCCAGCAAGGTTTTCTTCATGGTGATGCGCCATTATTTCCGCTCAGAGGAGGGTGGCGAGCGCTCCGTGTGCCTCAGCTTCGCCTTCTTCTTCCTCCTGCTGGCCATGGTGGCCCTGGTGGTGCGGGAGGAGTACCTGGAGTTCGGCCTCGAGGCCGGTGGGTGACAGGGAGGGGACGGGGACAGGGACAGGGGACGGGGACAGGGGACACTGGGCAGGGGACACTGGGCAGGGGTCACAGCACGTGTGGGGGTCACCCCCCACTCATGGGGGTCACTCCCCACTCCCAGTGGTCACTCCTGGTCACTCCCGCAGGGCTGGCCGGAGTCACCACTAGCCTGGAGCCCATCCTGAAGCCGCGGGGCTGGGAGTGGACGTGAGTGGGGGCACAAATCCCCATTCTGGGGACATTCCTGGGGATTTCGGGGTGGGAGTGGTGACAGCCCCGTGTCACTGTCCCCTCTGTGTCCCCAGGCTGCCCCTGGCCAAGCTGGCCTTCAAGCTGGGGCTGGTGGCCCTGAGCTCCTTCCTGGGAGCCTGCCTGACCTTCCCGGGGCTGCGGCTGGCACAGACTCACCTGGACGCGCTCAGGATGGCAGAGGACAGGCCCCTGACACAGTGGGGACACCTGGGGACAATGGGGGACACCTGGGGACAGTGGGGATGGTGGGGACACGGGGGGGGAACACCTGGGGACAGCGGGGGACAGGAGGGGAGGGAGGGGAGGGAGGGACCCCCAGCTCTGGGGGAGCTTTAGGATGGGAGGGGAGGGGCAGGGGGCTGTGTGGGGTCTCTGGGGTGTCTGTGGGGTCCCGGTGGGTCGCTGGGGTCTCTGGGGTGTCTGTGGGGTGTCGGTGACAGTGACAGTCCCTGGCAGGGTCCTGCTGCACGTGGGGTTCGTGGCGCCCGTGCTGGTGGTGCTGATGTGGGTCCGGCCCCTGGCCCGGGATTTCCTGCTCCAGGCCCCGCTGGGCAAGCAGACGGTGCAGATGTGAGTGGGACACCGAGGCACGGGGGTGTCCCCAGCCCCTGTCACCCCTTGTGACCCCCCCATGACCCCCTGTGTCCCCACAATCACCCCTGTGACCCTCCATGACCCTCAGTGACCCCAATGTCCCCCAATAACCCCACAATGAGCCCTGTGACCCCCTGTGTCCCCCAGCCCTGTCCCCTGTGTCCCTTCTGGAGCAGGGGGGTTCTGTCCCATGTCCCCCCCTGTCCCCCTCCCGTCCCGGGGTTTCTCTCCCCCATACCCCGTGCCACCCCCGCCATGTCGCCTGTCGCCTGTCGCAGCCTGTCGGACTCGTCCTTCGACACGGCGCGGCTCTGGGCCATCGTGGCGCTGTCGCTGCTGCGCCTGCTGGGGACGCGCCTCCACCTGCAGGCGTACCTGGGGCTGGCGGAGCGCTGGGCGCGGCACCTGCGCAGGGAGGCGGGGCGGATCCCGGCCAGGGACATCCAGCAGAAGGGCATTGAGCTCTT